TGTGTGTGTGTGTGTGTGTGAGAGATACACACACACCCACACTCAACCTCCTGATCAGTCGGTGAAAGTCCGACTAACAGTCTGTGCGGCACAGTCATGCTTTTATGAGTCTAGCGCGAATATGACAGCACACAAACACGAGATACACCCTCCTCTCTATCTCTGCCTTCAGTTTGCTTCTCTCTCTCTCTCTCTCTCTCTCTCACACACACACACACACACAATCTCATGTGTTTGTGTCTGTGGGAGTTGACTGGTGTCTCCTTGATGAGACTTCCCCGGTGACACGGTCTAGCTCATCATGATGGCGACGAGATGATGCCTGAAGAGTAGGCCGGTGGTGCTTTGTTGGTATCATGAAGTCGCAATGTATTGTGGACGGACATATCTTCAGATAACTTCGACGCCGACTTGGAGGACAAACAGCAGGGCAAAGATGCAGAGCAGCGCGAGGAGACGCCGCAATCCGGCAGGATCACTAAGAAAGGCACAAGCCGCACAAGCAAACGGAGAAGTTGGAACTGACAGGGACATAGAGAGGAGGGAGTTGTTGTTGTTGTTGGCCCATAGAGTCGTGGACAATTAGTACGCTCAGGATCGGATCGAATGCCTGAATCTGAACGTAATTGTGGAGAGGTGCAGGAAATACAGAACATGCAGGAAATACAGAACATGCAGGAAATACAGAACATGCAGGAAATACAGAACATACAGAACATGTCACTTTGTCGCCGTCGTGCACACAGCCTAGCCTGCGCTCTCTTGTTATCACGACCCCTTTGCCCTCAACCTTCATCCCCTCCCCCCCCTACCTACGAATACTCTCTTTCGACTATTTCACCCCCTCTCTCTTCGCGTCACCCAATCCCGAAAAATACAAATAAAAATCACCACCCACCACTACCCACCATCACTAACCATCACTACCCATCACTACCCATCACTACCTAGCAACCACCAGCAACCACCGTGCAGCGCCCACTGATCAGGGTGGGTTGGCAGGTATTTTCTAGTGTATTTTCTAGTGTATTTCTAAGGGTTAGACTCCCTAGTCTCCCTAGAGACTAGAGTCCTCGATCATCATCCTGTAGCTTATAGGTAGTAGCTGCGTAGCAGGTAATGCCAGGTATGGCGTTCCCACTTCGCGTTCGCACTAGGGCCACTAGATTGTGATAAGACCATCATGTAGGTGTTTTATTATGTGTCATGTGTGGACGCATTAAAATTAAAATACATATAAAGCATCACATTGCTGACTTGAATTCAGTCAATCGATCGATCTGTCAATATCAACGGTACAACAGCTGTCGGCGGTCGCCCACGCGCCGAAGGCCATAACAGTGTTAGAACAGCGAGACCTCCTCTCTCTCTCTCCTCTCTCTCTCGCGCGCGCGGTAAGGTCGGACGGTCTATAACCGTAAAGAGACTGTACAGTTTACACATCTGTTGGATGTCGAAGATTTGGAGATTTTTTAAAAATGGGCGTCGGACGTTTCCGAGGGTGACTGTAGTCCCATCCCAGCCTTATACGCAATGGTGCATTCTACAACAACACATTATGAGCAAACAAAAAGCCAAGAAATACACTGTTAGACAGTATTAGTTAATTCAATCACAAAGCTTGCAAGCTTCTCTGCCCCCCCAATCTGTGCCGTGGTCAGTACCAAGGTCATATCTCAAGGATAAAAGAAGAAGAAGAAGAAGAAGAAGAAGAAGAAGAAAGAAGACGAAGAGGATGCCGATGTAGTAGAAGTACTAGTAGTAGTACTACTAGTAGCAGAAGAAGAAGAAGAAGAAGAAGAAGAAGAAGAAGAAGAGGAGAATAAATCCCGCCCAGAAGCCGCGTGGGCATGACGGAGAAGGAGTGAAGTGAAAGTAACGTATGAATTTATGCCAACGCTTGCTCACAGTAAATAAATAATTAAATAATAATATGAAAACGCTGAAAAAATCTTGTCCGACGAGAGAGAGAAACACTCGTCTCTCCCATTCCTTCCGCGCCGAATCCGCGGAGCTCATTGGCTAAGCGGACTTTAAAGCAGTCCTATTCCATCCATCTATTTATCGACTCTGCCTTGGGGTATCCCGACCACTGCAATCTATTCTTATTTCTAACTTCATAAATATATAACCCCTCAACGTATCTGATGATCCTATTCCTACTTAGGTTATCAAATTCCACCCCACCCTGCGCCGCCCCCTACCCCACCCCCCCCCAAACCCCCTCAGCGTGGGATTAACCCTCCAAGGCTCCAACCCCACCTCGGTACACCGCTCGAGATCGCAGCTGCTTCTCCCCACTCTCTCTCTCTCTCTCTCTCTCTCTCTCTCTCTCTCTCCTTTGTTTTTTTCCTCCTTTTTTTCCCCCTCTACATCTTACAATGTTATACCAATCACCGATCACTGCTTCTCTCGTTCTCTTTTTTCCGTTTTTTGTTTTTTTCCCATTTATAAAAATTAGAGCCGCACCCCTCTCTCTCTCTCTCTCTCTCTCCGCGTCTCTTGTCTCCATTCCTGGATAGACTCGTGGTGCTCGGTTCTCTCTACCGTTTCAATCTGAGCGGGAGGGTACCTCCCTCCCTCCCTCCCTCCTCCCCTTCTCTGACTTTTATTTACCAGGGGAGTTGCGCGTCAAACCCGTTGACGTCAACCAGTCTGTTTGTATATATTTATATATAAAAAATTAAATATATAAATATATATATATGCATGTATATATATATAGTCGTATGTATATCCCTTTCCGCGGATGATGCTATCGGTTATGTTCCAAAATAGCACCATCCGGACAAGCGATCGGGAGTCGGGACTTGCAAGGGCAAGGCGATACCTGCGAGACCGGTAGTACAGTACCTATCTTTCTTCATCGATTTGCCGTTGAAGACGCTGACAAGCTGTCACAAGTGGGTGGCGACGACGAGCACTCCTGCTCCTTGTGCCTCAGGGCAGTATTATACTCACAGTAGCACTTTGTTACCTATTTCTGGACGGAATCGCGGCCAGATGCATACAGCTCCCAGCCGTAAATGCGGTCAGATACATTTAAGATAGTGCTAGTGTGAGTACGCCCTCTGTCTACGGCACTCTTTTTTCCCGTCCGAACACGACTCTCTCTCTCTCTTCGTTGCTCGCGTCATCCGAGTTGGAAGACGGAATTGAGGCCAGATGCATACAGGTCCACCCGTGATCTGGATTCTGCCATCATTCTGGCAGCGAAGTGTGTGCCTCGAAGACCGTTCCATTGCCATGGAAGGGGTGCATAGCCGCATACACACTGTCAGAGCCACGGAAGACCGTACTATGGGGTATAGTCACAGCATTCCGTACTTTGTTTGTCTATAGACACTTCCATAGTACGGAAGACCGTACTATGGAAGACGGCAGTAATGGCATACTACTCTCTAAGACCGTCTTGATGTAGGCCTGCATATAGTAGCGACGACCGACCGACTTCCCAACTGCCCAGACGGGGGCAAAGTTGGCATAATAGGGGTCCAGACGGCAGATGCACATCGACTGGAAACATCGAAAAAGTAGTCGTCCGGTAAGCGAAGCAAAGAGGACTTCTAGAAGAGAGAGAGAGAGAGAGAGAGAGAGAGAGAGAGAGAGAGAGAGAGAGAGAGAGAGAGAAACAAGCAAGTGAGAAGAGGGAGGAAGAAGGCGGCGAGGGGCGCGACGACAAGTGTTTTTCACCCGCCAGCCGCGTCGTCGGCATCGTCCTTCTTGTCGTTTTCGTCGTCGTCGTCGGAGCAGAAGGAGGAGGAGGAGCAGGAGCAGGAGCAGGAGCAGAAGAAGAAGAAGGAGCAGCAGAAGAAAAAGAAGAAGCAGCAGAAGAAGAAGAGGAAGGAGGAGGAGAAGCAGAAGGAGGAGGAGGAGGAGGAGGAGCAGGAGCAGAAGAAGAAACAGGAGGAGGAGGAGAAGCAGCAGAAGAAGGAGGAGGAGGAGGAAGAGCAGCAGCAGAAGAAGGAGCAGCAGCAGAAGGAGGAGGAGGAGAAAGCGAAAGGTAGAGCTTCGGCTTTCAAGTGCACAAAAACACTTCACTTAGTCTAGTTGACCAATCCATCGAGATGTTGGCTGACGATCTGCTCCATGACGTGGCGCATCCTGTGCACAATCGACTCCCTGTCTCTTTGCATGTCGAGCAGTCGTTTCTCCTGGATGTCGATTGTCTTCTTGAGGTCGTCGCGTTCCAACTCTCTTCTCACAATCTCCTTTTGCACTAACTCCTCTTGATTCCAAATCTCCATCTCGATTTCGTTGATCTTCTGAGGTTGCAATCTGCATGCTTCCTCTGCCTCCTCCCTAGCCTTCTTGGCCAGAGCCGCCATGTCCTCCGCATGCTGCATTTTCCTCGCTGTCCACTCTTCAACCTCTCTTTTCCTCTTCTCCCTTACGTCTACCAAATCCATCAACTCCCTCCGTTTCACACTTACCACTGTCTCTAGTTCTCCCAGCTTCTCTTTTCCCTTAAACAGCTCCTTCCTTCGCTCCTCAATCTTTGCCTCGATCGTCCCTACGACCATCTTCTGCATCATGTCCGAGCCCTCTACGGACGACATGAATGTCCCCTCAGACGCATATCTGGTCCCACTGGCCGTATGTCCTCTGGACGTATCCTCCATAAGGAAACCACCGTCTCCTCCTCCTCCTCCTCCTTGAGCTTCTTCTCCGCCATCTGCTCCTCCTCTTCCTCTCCAGTCTACCACCCTTCCTCCTCCTCGTCCTCCTGCTCCTTCTTCGCTTTCTCTTCTTCGAGGAGATGCCGTTCTCAACGAGGCCAACCTGGCTGCTCCTTGCGACGACGTTCCCCCCCTGTCGTGGGGAGCCTGTGCGGGAAAATGACCCCTCTGCCCATCTACACTATTGTCGGCCATTTCCGCACCCTCTCTCTCTCTCCCCCTTCGACCAAATACCCCCGCGGCAAGGTGGTGATCCACTTGCGCACTCCCCCCTGCATGGAGTCCCGCGCGGCTGGTCGCGTGTGCAAACGTGTCGCCCTCCATCCCCTTCGCGCCGGAGGCCTCCCCCCTGCTGCACATAACGCCTCCGCGTGTCGCGACTTCGTCCATGTCCATTCCCGCGTACTCAGCCACTACTCCCACGTTGCGCTGCTCACGGTGCACCTCCGTTACGCTGCTCGCCCTGCCCGCGTTCGTCACACCCTCTCTACCACCCTCCCTACCAGCCTCTCCGGTTTTGCAGTAGCCTTTGACAGCCTCCTCGCCCTCGCATTGAGTCAGCCTAGGGTCAACGGACATGCTAGACGCTCGGAGGAGGCCGGCTACGGCTTGATGACCAGCATTGCTGTGACAGTCCTCCTCTGGGCGTCGATACCTGCCGGTATTCTGGGAGGGGGAGGGGCATGGGGAGGGGGAGGGGGGGCTCATACCTACCTTCTGCAGGAAGGCCGCTAAGCTCGTGTGGGAGGGTTTCACGTCGTGGTCCGAGTCGACGTCCTCAACGACCGGCGGCGAAACAACAGCTGCTGCTGAACAGATTCGCGCGCTATAGGCGCCATTGTCCCCCATCACAAGTCTCCTGCGTTTGCCAGAGAGAGTGTCTTTGTTGCCAGCAAGGCCTCCGGAGGCACTCACAGCACTAGGCAGGTCTCCTGCGCCGCTCAACGACTGAGAACGATCCACGTGGCAGGTGGTGGGGTGCGATCCGACGGCCGCGGAGGATCTCGAGCGAGCTTGAATGGTAGAGGGCAGAGATGGACTCCAGCAATCGGATGGGAAACCGGTTGTCGTCTGGAGCGCTCTGCTCTCCGACACCATAGCCGATGCTGCTTGTCGACGTGTCGAAGCGCAGGCAGAGAGAGGATCCGGCTGTAGGAGAACTTGTGCCACGCGGGCGAAGCTGTTTATGTTGGTGCAAGAGATGGCGTGTCCAGCAGCGTTCCCATCTGTCACATGCAAAGACAGAGCGGCAACCATTACTACAGAGAGAGGCCATCGTTATGATCATCCAATTATCCAAAAGAAATTACAATAATGGTTTTTTTTTTTTTTTTTTTTTTTTCTTGTTTAATGAACTTTAATCGAACATTTAATCGTATATTGGCAAAAGGAAACGACTGTAGGAGGCCGGGGACCGAGCAATTAATTGTACCCCGGCGGAGGTCCCAGTAGTAGGAAAGAGGAGATAGGATCAAGCTCCTGAATCTGGACTCGTTTTATGCAGAGATCCAGAAAAGCAGTTTCAATCTCGAATCTCGATTTCCTGCATCTCTCTACAAACACGTCCAGATTCAGGCATTCGCTCCGATCCTCTTTGCTAGTGGAACCGCGCCCCCAGGGCTGTTTTTTTTTTTTTTTTTTTTTTGGAAAGCATGGCTGTGTTTTCAAAACCACATCCTTCAACAACACATCGCAATCCAAACGAATATTCGATGAAGGGTCGTCAGAGAAAATGCTCCGCTTGAAAAAAAAAAAAAAAAAAAAAAAAAAAAAAGCAACGCTCCGGTAGTCTATTGAGACCAGTCGGTCGACAGTATTACTCTAATGATTTGGATCTTGTTAAACAAAAAAAAAAAAAAAAAAGCCAGTCGGTCGGTAATAGCTGCGGTGCGCCCCGCCAACGGCGCCAAGCTCTCCTGGGCCGAGGTCCCACTACGGTAGCAAAGAGGATCGGATCGAGTGCCCGAATCATCCGAATGTGGACGTGTTTTATGCAGAGATGCAGAAAAGCAGTTCAATCTCGATTTCCTTCACCTCTCCACAATTACGTCCAAGTTCAGGCATTCGATCCGATGCTCTTTCCTAGTGGGACCACACCCCTGAAGACAATCGGACTTTGCCACTTTGGGCCTTTCCTAGGGGCAGATTCATTCTCATTTTGCTCATTTGGTGACCGATGGAGCGACGCCCTTGCGACATTCATACATGTCACACACTCAACGAGAGGGCACGTGAACAAATCGAGCAATCAACTACGTAGACGCTGCCTACGGTTTACCGTTACCGTTATCAGCTCTACCCAGAGACGAGTCATATAAAGTCTGTACTGGAAGCTCCTATCCAATTTTTTTTTATTTTTTTTTATTATTATTTTTTAAAGGGTGACGGCCTTGAGATATTATCATTGAGCTGACCGGCAAGGAGCAATTCATTAGTAGTTGGTTTTACTCGTCAAGTTCCATCATCCGGATTCGAGCACAGGTCTGTATTTGAACAGTTCATCGGTGTACCCACTGAGCTAGGCTCTTGGGTCTCCTATCCAATCATGGACACGTATAAAGTCTGTATTGGCAGGTTCCCGCATGGGCCCTCGCTCCACTACTCAACGGATGCACTAAAAGACAAAAACTATGCCCGTGTATCTTTCCATGTTCTAGCGGAATATTCATTATCTTTTTGCACATTCGATGCGTAGTGGAGCAGGTTCCAAGACAGGAGTGAGAAACGGGCCATGTATTCTATTTTTTCTCCCTTTTTAAAAAGGTAAGTACACAAAGATCTCTTTGATTTGGCTTTTGTAATAAAACTCCAAACTTTCCAAAAAAAAATTAAAAATAAATAAATAAATAATTTTGGTGCCTACTTCTCATTGGTTTGATTCTCCTTTCCGAAAAGTACCCTGCAAGGTTTGGTCTTCGAGCATGGCTCGTAATCTAAACTGGCTGAGGCTGCCAGGATAACACCGGGTAGAATTGTGGGGTCCCCGGCTTCATTCAATGTCTACCTTTATAATAAAGTTGCAAGCTTTCCAAAAAAAAAAAAAAAAAAAAAGAAAAAAAAAGAAGTACCCTGCAAGCAACTAGCAGGGTTCCCATAACCTTCGGAAGGATGTGCATTGGACTGCTAGTCCCATGAATTAACCTTTGATAGTCAGCACACCACAGCGAGAGAGGACGAGGGTTGCTTGTTAAGAAAAAAGTTTGTGAAAGAAAAAAAAACAAAAGAAAAGGAGGAGGGTTGCTTGTAAAAAAAAATAATTCGTAAGAGAAAAAAAAAAAAAAAAAAGGAGGGTTGCTTGTAAAAAAAAAAGTTTGTAAAAGAAAAAAAATAAAAAAGGAGGAGGAGGGTTAAAGAAAAAAAGCATTGGCACAAAAAAGGAGAGAGAGATTGGGCATCGCCACACCACTCTCGAAATGTGCAAAATGAGAATGAACTTCGGGCTAGAACATGGCCAGATGCGTATGCCAATTTTTTGTCTTTTCCGCATTTCGACAGTGGTGTGGCGAGGCCCATTATCCAGTGTTCACCGCTGCGTACTTCGGGGCAGGAGGCTAGGAGCTGCCGCCACGTGTCGATAGGAGGTGGTGGCCGCAGGAACCGCCCGCTGCAGGTAACGCCAATTGGCAATAATAGCACGAAGGGCCAGAGACCACTAGGTAGCCCCTATTGTTCATTTCTGACCGTTGATCTTTGTAATCGAGGGTGAAAAATGAATCAATCCAGAGTAGTGGGATCTGACCCTAACTGCCGAAGCATTTGCCCCCCTGTCAACGGAACTCGCCACGGGCCTCGCTCCACGACACAGCACTCTACATGCATCTGGATGCTATTCTGGACCCTGTACGTTCAAAACATTCGAATTATCCGAATGCACTTGGTCCGGGAAGCGTCCAAAATTCATGTAGCGTGTTGTGTAGTGGAGAGAGGGCCGATCTCGTTCAAGCTTTAGCAGAATACCTTTCATCACTCGGAACAACTACAGTGAACTACCGTCTCCCCCGAGCACAACGCACCCTCATTTTGAATGAATCTGACCGGAAAGACGGCACTGTTGGTGGTCTAAACCCACCTACTAATATACATATATGCATGATGAGGGTCACTGCGTTGTCTTCTTCGGAAGACGGAGGGCAGAGCACTGTAGGTGGTCTTAGACGGCTAGTGCAACCCCCCTAGAGGGTTGAACCTTCTTTTTTTTTTTTTTTTTTTTTTTTTTTAAAAAGGCTTGGGTTTTTTTTCCGGTTTTCAAAAAAAAAAAAAAAAAAAAAAAAAAAAACCCCCCCAAAAACACCCGATTTTTAAAAAAAAAAAAAAAAAAAAAAAAAAAAAAAAAAAAAAAGCTCGGCTAACACTGCCGGTTTTGATGCAGGACTACCGTAGTCTGGAAAAAAAAGGGCCTCGCTCCACTACTCTCCAAATCTGCAAAACGAGACTGAATCTTGCCCTATAACATGGAAAGATACACAGCCATTTTATTTTTTTTGTCTTTTGTGCATGTGGAGAGTTACTGTAGTGGATCGAGGACCAAAGTGATGAGGGTTCACCGATGATAAGTGAATGTTTAATAATAATAATAATAATAATAATAATAATAATAATAATATACTTCCAAACAATTGCTGCGGTAAATTGTAAGTCGTTAAAGCAACGAAGCTTGACGCACTCAGGGCATCATACTCACATTAGCAATGTGACAGTCTTGAATGTATCTGACCGCGTTTATGGCCAGACCTGCATGCATCTGGCGGCAAATCGGTCCAGACACCGAAATAAGTTAAAAAGTCCTACGGTAGTGAGAGTATGCCTTGAGAGGAATATAGCGTAACGTTACTTGTACGGTTTTACCTTACGAGCTGTAAAGCTCTTTTTTTTTATAATAAAAGCTGCCTTCTCCTCATGGCTGAATAGCCATATATTTTTCTCTCATCTCACAGAAATTTGATTTAAGTTCATTTAACTGCCGTTCTTCCATGTCGTATGTTCCAGGACATGGCATGGCAGAACGCCAGTTAAAGCCTTTTTTTTTTTTTTTTTTTTTTTTTTGGAAGTTAAAGCAAATTTCAGAGGACCCGTCGCACCAAACGATATTCTAATACTGAAAAGGATAAACACCTCCCTTTTTCATCTTTCCCCAAAGGGCCCAACCCCATCCAATACTCTCCCACACACCACACCCAACCCACTCACAGTCGCTTTCTGACCCGTGAAGGATGAAGACAGTGAAGAGGATGAAGACCCTACTAATGCCGAGGTGGAGGATCCAGGTGTCTATCTCCATTGGCTGGTACCAAACGTAACGGCCGTGGGGATTGATGAAATATTTTTTATTTTTTTTATTTTTTTTAATGAAAGAATTTTGAGTGAATAATATTACAGTGTAGTTAAAAAAAAAGAGAGAAAACTACCGCGCAGTCAGGCTCAAGAGAAAACGGCAAATTCATAAACTATCTCCCCGCGACTAAACCTTTGTATCCTTCCATTCCCCCCCCCCCCCAAACCGGGGAAAAAATGCCACAGGTCCCAAAATTACTTTTGGTGTCATTTTTGCACCATTGGTGTCATTTTTGCACCCTGTCTGTGCCGGTAACGGCCGCTGCAAAAATGGCAGGAAAGTGTTTTGCAGGGTGCAAAAATAACACCAAAAGTAATTTTGTGACCTGCGGCACTTTTTTGTCCCTTTAGGGGAAGGGGGGGGGAGGGGAGGAGATAGTTTATGAATTTTCCGTTTGAAAACGCACTGGTTGAGTCAAAAGGGCCGGTGATGGTGAATGTATACAACCTAGGTTTCGGGTACGGTGGGGTCACGCAGGGTGTGTTGTGTTCGGGGGATTGGCTGAAGTGCAGTGCACTTTCAAACTGCTTGGGTGACTGGGCCCAAGTTACCGCTTTAAAAATAGTTACCGGGGAAAAGAAAATTATTTAAAAATAGTTACGGCTTTAAAAATAGTTACCGGGGAAAAGAAAATTACAAA